GGAAAGCTTTATTTTCAATAAAAGGAGAAAAGTGAAGATAAAAAACCAGGCTTCACACATTTCAGTGTTCATTAACTCACCTTGGATTTATCTGCACACTATTTGCAACTATTTCGTGCTTATTATTAACAACATTCTCTCATTGGCTCTTCCCAGAATTCCTTCAAGGGAACTTTCAGAGAAATGTTCACGATACCTGACTTGTCACAATCAGAATAACTATCATCCAGGAAAATAAAACTGTTCCACAACACACACACAAAAGGACTCCTTATACCCTGTTAGAAGGAATGTACATTACTGCAGCCACTGTGGAAGTTAGCAGAGGAGGTTCCTCAAAAAAAACATTAGCAATAAACTGCCTTATTCTATCAACAAAAATGCCTTGGGCCTTAAAGAAAAACACTTCATTCTTTCTTTTCAGACTGTAATGTAATGTAAAAGTTTGGGCTGAAGTGATATCACACTATCACAAATCAGGTGGAAAAGCAGAAGTAAAATAATGCAATGTTTGTTTTTAGATGGAAGTCACTGAAAAATTATTTTATCTACTGCAATTTCTTTGTCATTTAGTTTTCTGCCTTAACAACTTTTTCGCTTATTTCTTTGAGAAATCTCATAAAACAAGATGATAATACTGCAAATTAGTGACCTAATATTCTGTCTTGAGCTAAGTGCTTAATGGTACAATGCCAGATGGTGATCATTTTCCATTTTAGAATGTTTCTATTGATTATGCTAAGAAAAATAACATTTTTAACTTAACAAATTTTTTAGTGAACTTTATTTGGGAGTTCTAAACGTTGCATTCAAAATTATTTCACTTAAATGGTATGTTTCTGTGGTTCTCTTTATTTGTCTAGAATAAATGAAGAATTAGAAGCTTAAAGAAAAAAAACATATGGTACTTAACCAGCCATATTCATATCTGGTTTAGTTATCTAGGCTGCAGAACATCATTGATATTCATAAGGGTTCCTTTCATGCTCAGTAATGGTATATTGCCAGAAGTCCAAATATTGCCACTTAGAAGATAATGCAAGAGTTTGTCTTTAATGAATGAGTCGTATTAAAAATTTTAGAATGCCTTTCAGATAAAAAAAAAACACTTTAAATTCAGCAGATCATTTTTTTCTCAACAGGCAAGAACTCATTAGCAGAATAATACTGATAACTGAGACATTTTTCAAAGAAAATAGTATCTCTGATAGATGCAACATATCTTCTCAACTTTAGAATAATTAGGGTTCATTTTCATTGACAAAAATAGACATCTTAGTTCCAATTCAGGGGGCTTCGTGAGCCAAATATTCAACATTGAGTCCAGTGAATATTAATGAGCAAAATCATAACTTAGTTCTGAATTTGTACCTTTAAACTCGCCTAGATTCTGCTTAAGATTATCCTTATTGATGTATAACCACCTGTCTTCATCATTGTAATCCCTGTCTAGAGCTTTGTATATAAATAAGAACACACAGCATTAGCTATGTATCACAGAAGAGTACACATCCAGCCTTGAATGTGGATATTCGTGGTGTACTCTTTTTAAGAGTACTTAACAATTGTTGAATACTAGTTCATAAACTCCAATAAGTAGATCCATGTTTATCCGTCTCTCTATGCTAAAAATAACAACAGTGGCATCACAGAGTCCTTTACTTGCTTAATATGGACAGTTCAGAAGTAGCTACCAAGTGGAGACTGACAATTAGACCTGTTCGGATTTATGTTAGCATAAATGTTAGTGCATAAGTTATTTATAGTCTTACAGCCATATTTTTTCATTTGGGGTTTTATATACAGATGCTATGCTAAGGAGAATACAGGGAAACAGTAGACAATTCTGAATGTCTAGTATTTGGAATATAATTTTTATATTTAAAAATAAATAGTTCCTGTGTTAAATTTAATGGTACATGCCTGATCCAACACCCTGGAGGTGGAGGATCAGAGGAGCTCAAAGACAACCTGAGCTTCATAAGCCCTTGCCTCAAGAAGCCAAAATTAGAGTAGTTCATGATGTTACTCTCCATCAACGTAGCTCTTGTTTATAGTCCATTAAGCGCTACATAGACATGTCAACAGTCTTTATATTCCTCTATATTCCTGACCACAAGATTTTAATTCCCCAAGAATACGCGCTGTGATATTTTTAAATGTTCCTCCTTCCTTAATATAGTATGGAACACTGATGACCCTATTGTCGTTATGGGCAAGTGCCCTGCCCAATGTTAATGGTATTGTACGAGCAAGCCATATCCAAAGTTTCACTTCTGTCAAGATGTACCAGGTGCTATGATCTGCCTCTGGCTTGGAATGGAAGAAGGCAATAATCGATGAATTCATAATTTGTGGCGACATGGTGTCAAATGTATATGTGGAATTCATTTCCGAAGCTCTGGAGGCTGCCTGATTTGTGCCAACAAATACATGGTAGAGTTTCATTTCAAGTGAGGCTCCACCCTTTTTGTGTCTTCCAAATCAACAAGTTGTCCTGTGCTGGGGCTGACGGACTCCAGACAGGTATGCGTGGTGCCTTTCTTTGGGAAGGGCCATGAAACAATGCCGAGGATTCCATTGGCCAGGTCATCCTGTTCAGCTACACCAAGCCGCAGAATAAGGAATATGTGTTTGAGCCTCTGCATAGAGCCAGTTCAAGTTCCCTGGCTGACAGAAGATCCACATCTCAAAGTAGTAGAGCTTCACCAAGTATAATCCAAATGAATTGAAACATAGTTACTAAGAAGTGGTTCATTCTTAATGGTTATAGAGGCAAATATATCCCCTGTAATAGTCCAGTGCGCCCTGTACCCTACCAAATCATGTTCAGTAATAAATCTCACATCCACATCCAATGTGTTAATATATGTATATATACATACATATCACTTTGTGTGTGTGTGACACATTAGAATTTTAAAATTGGTGTTAGTAAACCTGTGAGTAATTTTGCCTCCCAACATGCCAGGACATAGAATAAAGAAATGAATGTACGTGTAAATTTTGAGTGATTTTCCTATGATTAAGAAAATAATAATATGATATTTGAGATATTTGTGCAAATTGTAGTCTCATCTTCTTTAGATAGAATTTTAGACTTAATTGTGTCCCCACAAAATTTTCACATTGAAGTTCTAACTCTAACCTGGTGAGCCATCTCTCCAGCACTCTGAATTTGCATTTTAAATATATGCTTACTTTGTGCCTTATTTTATGAGTGGGAAAAAGAGATTCTCCAGAAATTGGCTCTCAGTTGACTTCCAGATATGGCCATAAACTGAACTTGATTTTTGTATTTCTTAATCTATTCTATGCATTAGTTCCTTGTCTGGATAATAGCTGGCATAGTTTGTCTTCCCTTCTATATGCTGTCTCTTCACTGTTGGTAGCTCCCATTTCTGTACAGAGCCTTTTCATTTCATGCAGTCTTATTTACTGGTTCTTGGGGGTTTTCTTCTGCTTTTGAAGTTCTTTACAGAAAGCTCTTGCCTATGCCTATACCTTGTCCTTGTTTCCATAATTAACAGTGTACTACACATGCATTTAAATATGCATATATAATATTATATACACACATATAATCCAGTGCTTCATGATTTATTAGGTTAGAACTTCCGAGATACAAAACAGGAAGAGAACTGAAAAGCTTATCTTTTGGTACCTTCCCTACTATATGATCTATTAATGAAGAATATAGTGACTTTTAGGGAAAGAAAATGTTTAGGGAGGTTAAAGAAAGGTTAAGAGCTTCACAAAGTTGCTGATAGGGTAAATACAGGGAATACCTCTTTTCCTGAAATGTTATCTCACAGAAATAGTCATTTTATTTTGGGGCAGTTTGGAAAAATAGTTTTCTATCATTAGAGTGGGTATATTTTAAATTCTTCAATGGCAGGAAAAAAATCTCTTGCATAATTCTTTGTTTATTTACTATAGTATCCTTTTAGGACAAACTGTTATTTCAGCATGTTAGGATTCTTTTTTTGTGCCTGGAAGCATGATTTGTTTTCTGTGAAACACTCTTACTTCTGTTGTGAGCTACCATGATTGTAAACCAATGTATTACCAGTGATGTTATCTCTCTGAAGTGATTTCTTCTATCAGTCTGTATGCTAAGATGGATTTTCTCTTACAAGTATTCAGAGAATTTCTACTCAGAACCATATTAATAATTACCTCTAGCATTCCCTTCATTTCTCTGTCATAGATAACATTTCCCTGGTTCATATCTATGGTGTGTGTTGTTCTTCCCTTGAGTAACTATATTTCACTTTATATTAAGTCTCGTTTTAGAACTGTTCTTTGACATTCCTAAGTTTTCTGTAACAGTCTTTATCCTTGACTGATCTTCTCTACCTTTTGATTCACTCTGGCCTCAAGGCCCTCTGCAAACATATGAGTGACTTTACATTCTCCTTCAGCAAACTCATGAGTATGTTGGACAAAGTCTTTAACCCTCTGGACCATGCTGGTACAGTCACTTGTGACTGTGTTGGTGATAATCCATTCCTTCCTGTGTGTTAGGGTTCTTTAGTACTGTGTGATACTAGGCAGTTCCTCAATCATTTCTGCATTCTACATGCCTCTGTACTGCTCATCTTTTTCTGATCTATAGATCAGAAGCCAGTGTGTAGCATATCTGATGGTACTATTGTGTAAATTTTAGAAATTACTCAATCTGAGAAGATATTATCCTTGGTAGAATTTCAGTGTCATTAAGTATATAAACGTGAAAACATTTTGGAACGCTTCTAAGTCTTTTCTTAATGAAAGTAGGTCTGGAGTTAAAATTCAAGTAAAAGAATAATTACTTTTTTGCTACTAGGAGGATGATTACAATGTATATACAGATAATTATCCTAAATGTGTATTTGCAGGTAATTACTTTGATTTGAAGGTGGCTTCTTAGGTAATATGCAGTTCATGTGTAATTTTTAGAGAATGATACAAACCACATACCTATTTTTTAAGTTTATATGTTTTTCTTTTATTTTCAGGAAAAAGAAGAAATAGAAGGAGTATCTGTAGGTGCTATACTTTCTGATTATCAACGTGTGCGAGTAGAAAATGTGTAAGAGAACATCAATCTTTCTAATATTTTAAAATCATAAATAATTTAAAAATCGGGATTGGGGATTGAGGACTAAATTTAGTATCTGAATGTGTGCTCAGAATGTGAAAGGCAGGAGTTATAATTCCAAGATCTTCCAATGGGGAGGACATAATAGTGTATAAATAGCCTGCATTGACCATATCCTGTGACCAGATTGATGCCTAGCCCAATTGTCATGAGAGGGGCATCATCTAGCAACCGATGGAGAGACCCACAGGCAAATATTAAGCAGAGTTCCGGGGTCCTGTGGAGGAGTGGAGGAGTCAGAGGGCTGTAGAGAAGGCTCATGGAATCAACTAACCTAGGCTCATGGGGCTCACAGAGACTGAATGAACAACCTGGGGGCCTGCATGAGACTGTCCTAGGCCCTCTGCATATATGTTACAGGTGTGTAATTTGGTCCTCTTGTGGAACTCCTAACAGCAGGAACAGGGGTTGTTTCTGACTCTTACTGTCTTTTGGGACTCTGCTTCTCATATTGGGTCACTTTTCCCAGCCTTAATACATGAGGAGGTGCTTAGTATTACTGCAACTTGATATGCCATGTTTTATTGATATTCATGGCAGACCTGCCTTTTTCTAGAGGGAGACAGAAGAAGAGAGGATGGGGGAGACTGGGAAGGGAGAATGGCAGGCTGCAGCCTGAACATAAAATAGATGAAATTTAAAAAGAATATAAAAATAAATAAAAAGCATTGTTAATGAATTAAAAAAATAAGTAATTGTACCCAAATCCTAAGCACATCTGTTATGGATGCTCTATAGAGCTAAACATATGTTTACCTAATTAACAAAAGCCGTATTTGTTTTCTATTTTTTAAATTTTTTTGAGAAATTCATGTATGTATACAACTAAATATTACCATAACCCCAGTATTTCCTCCTACAACTCTGCTCAGAACCTCACAAGTGCACATCTCTTCAGTAGCACAGAGTCTGAATAGAACCCCACAAGTGCCCCTGCGCCTTCTCTTCAGTAGCACTGGGTCTGCATAGAACCCCACAAGTGCCCCTGCGCCTTCTCTTCAGTAGCACTGAGTGAATAGTGCCGTCCATATGCTTTCACTGTGTGCTGATCCACTGGAACAGGAGCAGCTTTCCAGTGACCATATCCTCTGGATAAACCAAGTCATCTTAGAGAGTTTCATCTAAATCAAGAACATAAATAAATAATACTTTGAAATGATGGCCTAAGGAATAGGTAATACATCTCTATTAGCAAATCAGTCGTTCTGAAACCTAGGCAAAGTGTTTCGAAACAGTTAGGAATCTTTCAACTCCTCTTCCCCCTTGACTTTTAGTGTATGGAGAATCTGATAAACTTGTAGTATGAAATCATCATACCCTTCCCATTGAACTATGCCTTTCCATATTTGCCAATTTATGGAAGTATTGAAAATGAGAATAATTATTAATTGTCATGGTATGCTTTTTGACACTGATTTCTAAGCTTAAAGCCTTGCTAAAGTTGATTATTTCCAGTCTTCCTGGAGACTGATTTTTTTTATGTTTGTTTATAGTCCATAAAAATTAAATGTGCAAAGCATTGTTAAATTTTTACCATTTTTTTTTCATTGTGTTTGTGACTGTGTGGATATCTACATCCCATGGTGCAAAGGACATGGAGTTCAAAGAACTCCTTCCACCATGAGAGTTCCAGAAATGAACTCAGATAGCAAGTGCCTTTATCCCTTGAGTCACCTCTCTGGCTTCACAAGGCATTTTAAAAAATAAGGGTAGGAAGAGGAGAAAGAGCATTTTAAAAGTTAAAATCATTGAAAGAAGCATTGTGTTTAAAATCAAATTGCTGGGGCCCCTAATATGTTAATTTTTTTCTTTTTACTTTGTAGATGTAAACGGCTTGATCTCCAGCCTTTGACTTACTTATGGCAGAGAAACCAGGAAGACTTGCTCCGAGAGATGATAGCGTCTAACATTGAAGCCATCATCATCAAAGTAGCAGCTTTGGGTATGGAACCAAGTTTTCAAAGCTGTTGTCTACTACCGCATAAATAATCCAAGGCCGCATATTACATATGCGCTGAAGAGGGGTCAATGATTTAGTTATAAGCATGTGGAGTCACAAATATTAAGTAAGCACTGTGTGTGTGTTTGTGTGTGTGTGTGTGTGAGAGAGAGAGAGAGAGAACATTTCAAAATTGCCCTTTACATATATGCAAAGACAGTACTAGTGAACATCTATCTCATTTGAAGTATATACTTAACAATAAAAAACTGATATTATGGTTTTCTAAGTGTCTATGTAATTTGGAATTAAGGGTAATGTAAAACAGAAAATATAGGAGTTAGGGGCAGTTTGTTTGGTGTTTTTCTTTTTGGAAGCCTCTTAAGATACATAACTAGCATCAAATATTACCTTGTGCTTTATCATTGTGAATAATACAAAAACAGAATAACTTTGTGTTATTTTTGAAAGGAAATTATTTTTGGTTAAGGATCATAAAAGAAAAAGCACATCTGGGAGTTTTATTTGATAGGTGTAAACACAGTGAGTTTGTCGTTTTTAATTTATATCATTGTATTCATTTTTGAAACATCTTTGAGGCTAATGCATTTAATCCATGAACCCATTAGAGAGAATGCAGTGAAGGTGCAGGGTGTCAAAGCCTGAACTGCGTACCACGCTTCAGAGTGTCCACCCCACCCATCTCTGAGATGATTTCATGAATAAATTCATAGTTACAGATAATACTAAAGGAAGGGTGACATGTGTGTGGCACTTAGCACTTCTTAATCAGCACTGCTCTGCTCTGTCTGCTAAAGCTGTGGTGTGTTCCAGTGGAAGGCCTTGTGTGCTCAGTGTGCAGCTGCTCTCTTTTGCTGCTAAGATGAGAATAATTGACAAGATGTTCTCTTTTATGAAAGTCTTCTGGGCAGCTCTTAAAGCCTGCGCTGAAGCCATATTTACTGCTGGGCTTCTGTGTGAAGCTGTGCAGAATGTGCTCTGTTGCTTTCCTGGATTCTTATTCGCTCCTGGATTTTCTAAGATGATACGTGCTGTACTCATCCTATACCATGCTGGAAGATATCATGTCTCTTTTACTACCAGATCTTCCATGGCATTAGGGCCTCATTGGAAGGACAGAGCCACAGAACTCAACATTGCCCCCATTGTGATTAAACATAACTAGTGCTGTGTCTTTATTTAGTTTATGCTTCAGGAGGGAAATAGAAATGGTGAGTTAATGCTTTTAAACCTTTGGACAAAAAATATAACTGAATTAATTTACTTGTCTTTTGTATCTACATAACAAAAGTTTAAGTATGATTTTAATATTTATAGCATGTGACTTCTGTTCACTACCTGAAGGTATACATGTGTGAAATTTATTCTAACAAACACTACTATGTTTATATGTATATATAAACATTATATTTATACATATAAATATATACATTACAGTATAGGTTTCTTATCAATTTTAATTCATTAAAATAATCTGAAAAAAATAATAAGTAAAACTCTTATGGTTTAAAAAAAATCCATTTTTTACAGAACAATCCCATGGTAGTAGCAAAGAAGAAAAGACTCAATTCTACATGGACATATAAGATAGATCTCCAATAAGTATCCTGTGTAATCTTGGTATATATATTTGGTAATCTGCTGTCGCTGTGTTAAAACACAATGATGAAAAACAACCTGTGGAAGAAGCAGTAAATATTTTAAGAGTCCAGCATGGAGGAAAGGCATGGAAGCAAACGGCATGGCAGCAAGATCAGGGAACTAGAGATCATGTCAGGAAATAGAACAAATGGGAAGTGGGCAATTGTATAAATTCTCAAAGCACAATCCTGCCCCCCCCCCCAATGATGTCCTTCCACCAGCAAGGACACACCTCTGGAAGGTTCTGTGACATCCCCCAAGCAATGTCACCAGCTGGGTGTCAAATGTTCAAATATCAGACCCTGTGGGGGATATTTCTTACTCAAACTATCACATCTCACTCCCTGGTCCCTAAAGGCTCATGGCCATATCATAATACAATCTGTATTTAGTCCAGCTTCAAAAGTCCTCATAATCTTTCAGTCTCAACACTGCTTAAAAGTCCAAAGAGTCTCAAGATTTGCGGTAATCTAACTGTAAACACTGATAAAATATAAAAGCAAATTTTAAATTTCCAACATAAATTGACAGAGAATATATATTGCCTTTCCAAAAGGATGTACTGGGGCCATAGTGAAGGAACCCTAACCCAAAGCTTGGCTGGTAATAAAAGGCTAAATGGATCTGCCCTTACACCTTTCCTGCCCGCAATCGTGTCTGACACATACCAGTGAACTTAAGTTCTTAAGTATTAACAGCTTATTATGTAAAGGATTTTCTTCCTACTACCATTTAAACAACTGTACCTTGCAGAATTTAAGGAAATTTAGCTTTTTGGAAATGTTTGGTTTTGATTGTATGTCAATGAGATTGAAAGAAAATATTCTTATTATACCACACATTTTCAAAAGAAAGGCTTCTAAGTATTTTGTTTTCATTTCTTTAGCTAACCATCCCCTTCCCATAGCTACAAACGTAAGTGATAATTGATCATCTTTCAGAGTTTTTATGACTATATTTATAGAAATACTGAGCTCTCTTTTTTGTTGTTTTGTGAATTGTATCTTTTTCCACAGGTTGATCTGTCTGTAGCATACCTTTTTTGCTTTGCATTTTATGTAAGAGATTTTTGTTCGTATAATGTAGACGTTCTTCATATTTTATCCTTTAAGAAATTTTGTTAAAACATAATAAGTACAAAAATACGTCAATGCTAAGTATATACTTTGATGAAATATAACATAACTGAACCAGACTTCCTAATTTAGATAGTATTATAATCATTGCCTTCATTGACACTTACCCTCCCAAAACCACACATAATTTTGTTAGTTTTTCTTTCTTTCAATTTTAAAACTTTTATAAGGAAGGCAGAAAAGAAACCCAGGGTCTCACACTTGCTACGCTAGTACCTCATCATGGATTTGTAATGTTTTACAAATGGAAGCACACTGTATTCTCTACTGTGTCTGTGAGTTCTTTAGCTCAAATGTACTTACAAGAGTCATCCCCACTTTGAAGACAGTAGTATTATGTACACTCTCATGACAAGATATTGTTGTCTTAGTTGACACTGTACAGTAGTTTCCAGTTTGCCACTATTACAACAGAGCTGTTTATATTCTCCTGGTTTTTTCTTCACTCTCTGGTAGTACACTTTGAAACAGAAAACTTGTAAATTTTGGTATAGTTCAATGCATTCATTTTTGTAAGATTCATCCTTTGATAATTGTATAAAGAAACCACTGCCTCTACCCTTTTTAAACTTAAAGCACTTCATACCCTTGGCCTTTTTGGTTATACTGATGATTTCATGCTCTTTTTCCTGGCCCACTGTTTTCTAAACTTGTCTTTACATCTGTTGTTTTGGTACTGAGGTCCTTGCCAAAGTAGAATTATATAATCATTATTTCCTAAAAATGCTCTCTGAAGAAAGCTAACTTACTTGTGTTGACATTTATAACAAGCATGGTCACAAATGGTCTGAACAACAAAATGGGAATTCTGCTTTGCTGTGGGAAGTCCTTTTGTATATGTGTTGCTTTTAACGGTTAATGAATAAAGAAAATCCTTGGCCTGTGATAGGGTAGAGTAGAGCTAGGCAGGAAAAATTAAACAATGCTGGGAGAAAGAAGGCAGAGTGAGGAGAAGCCATGTATCCCTGCTGGAGACAGGCGTAGGATGCTGGATGGAACGTTACCCGGTAAGCCACAGCCACGTGGTGATACACAGATTAATAGAAATGAATTAAATTAAGATGTAAGAGTTAGCCAATAAGAAGCTAGAGCTAATGGGCCAAGCAGTGATTTAATTAATACAGTTTCTGTGTGCTTATCTCAGGGCTGAGCAGCCAGAAACAAACAAGTAGCCTCCTACAACACTACTTTTTGTAAATCTTTCATGCTTATATGGCCTACACTGCTGGGAGACGTCCTGATGACAATAATGAGTGCTTGATTCATTTTCTTCACCCTATTTAGGATTTTTTGCATGCATGTTTGTAAGAAGACTGATCTAGAATTTTCTTTCGTAGTAGTGACAGGTGTGGGTAATGTGGCTTCATGACATAAGCCTTGAGGTGCTTCCTCCTTTTCTGTTTGCTGAAAGATTCCCTATGAGACTAGTATTAATTCTTTCTTAGTATTCCAAAGTGTTGATTACTTAAGCCATCTGGACATGGAAATTTCCTTGGGGTAAACTTTTATTAGAGATTCTTTTTCTCTGTTAGATAGACTTCACCTTCATCAGTGTTTATTTTTCTTTTTTCTGTTTTTTTTTTTTATTCTACGTATTTTTTCTTTATTGTTTCTATTGAGCTATACATTTTTCTTTATTCCCCTCCCTACCTTGCTTCTATTCTTCTACTTTCTCCTGTGACCCTCATGCTCTCAATTTCCTCAGGAGATCTTGTCTTTTTCACCTTCCTATGTAGATTTATGTATGTCTCTCTTAGGGTCCTCTTTGTAGTCTAGCTTCTTTGGAATTGTGGCCTATAGGCTGGTTTTTCTTTGCTTTGTGTCTAAAAGACACTTACGAGTGAAGACATACTATATTTGTCTTTCTGGGTCTGGGTTACCTCACTCAGTATGGTTTTTCTAGATCTATCCACTTGTCTGCAAATTTCAAGATGCCATTATTTTTTACCGCTGTGTAGTACTCCGTTGTGTAAATGTACCACATTCTACAATAGTATTTATTTCTCTTAAAGTGAGTTTTCCTCAAAACTTGTCTTTTTAAAATACTTTCTAAATGTTGATTATAGGGATAAGCTTGTCTATAGTAAGTTACAGCATAGCCAGGGCTACAAAGTGAACTCCTGTGTAAAATGAGCAAGACAAAAGACCAACCTACGACTAATGGCACATGGATTTATGTTGTCAGAGACTTTCCCTGTAGAAAAC